AAAAGTTGCTTCCTTTATATGTAATTCTAAAAAAACGCCCATAAAAACTGCAAGACACAAAATTTGAAACCGCAATTTTGCATGTATCTCCGCATGGACGCAACAAACCTTCATGACAAAGTTGGTGAAGATCCATCAACAGGGGACGAAGTAGTGTTAAAAAACGCAAAAGTGCGTGTTTGTCAGCAGGATTTGTCGAAAATGACTGGATGAATTTGGACGCAAGTTGATATGTGTTTGGACTATGACCCAAGTTAGAAGTGATTAGTTTCTGGAGGATCAAGGTCAAAGGTCAGGTTCACGAAAATAAAAAAATCCCTATCTGTTAACATGGGGACCGATTTTTCACTCTATCTTTGCTCTATAACTCAGTAAAAAATGACCGGATTTTCATTAAACTTGGTGGACCTTTGCATCATATTATTCCTCATTGTCCTGCAAAAAATGGTCCGTCTTCGTTGATAACGACAAACACACGGACACATTTTGGTATTTTTGTGGGCCAGATATGATCAACTCTGCGTGGCGGAGGTATGCGTTCTACTGAGTGCCCCTCTAATTATTATTTTATTTAAACTAACTTTATTATCAAGCAGAAGGACTGGAGTGCTAGCAAGCTAATCTTGTTCAAATAACTACAGCGTCAACGGGAGAAAACTACATTATTTATTCTAAAAACTCATGAGGGAAAACAAAAGATAATGTGTTACAACATGTCAACCACACTAAATTGGCCTTATCCAGTGCCGACTACACTTGTCGTTCATTGCCAGGGATCATCGGGCCTGTTGGGATACGACAGACATAGTATTGGTCTATAGGTGTTATATATGTGCGTATATATGATTAATTTTAATAATAAATAACTTTTATGGCTTGAAACGAGATTAAGCAAGTGAATTGCAATCATTATCATTTTTATTTATGTCAAAAACACGTTTTAGAATAAGTTTGTTTGTTTTAGAGCAAAGCCACATTGGGCTATCTGTTGTGTACACCGCGGAGAATTAGGCCCCGGATTTTAGCGTTGTAAATCCGTAAAATTATCTCTGTCCCATTGTAGAACTTTAGGGTAAGAAATAGAGAATTTAAAGATCCAACTTAAAATATGTTCAGAACATCAGCTGATAAAACCATTGTACGTTGCCAGTAGATAAAAAGATATTTCTCGTTAAAAGAGAACTATATTCAAAAAATATTATAAATACTTTTTTAAAAGATACAACCTACTGGTTCATCAATATGACTAAACTGGGAGCAAGTACACTATAAACTGAAATTGATCCCCCAGAGAGGATTTATAAGCGTATAAAATGTATAAATTGAGGATTCTATACTTGAATAAGACGATAAAGCTTGCTTTCAGCAATAGAGCCTCCTAGTGGACAATCGTGAAAATATCAGTTACCATCCATCCGGACATCCTAAGTATTTAACGTTAACGAATCTTTAAAATGAATTTCTAAGGTGGTAGAAATTACAAATTTCCATAATTAAAAGCCCCCCAGTGGCACAGCGGTATGTCTGCGGACTTACAATGCTAGAAACCAGGTTTCGATACCCGTGGTGGGCAGAGCAAAGATAGCCCTTGTGTAGCTTTGTGCATAATTAAAAACAAACAAACCATAATTAAATATCATCCCATATATATGTTGTTATTTGGGGGGGGGGGGCTTTGGACTCAGAAAAGAACAAGGCTCTCCTCATTGAATTTTATTTTGTGATCAGGCAAACTATTGTTTTTTTATGAAATGTTTCTTATCATCAGCAAAGTTTAAAAAGTTGATTTGATGTATAAACATGGCGTATGATTTAGTCGTTTTATACATCTTTTACCTGATTTTCCTAGACAAATCTTAACTAAATTCATGAAAGAGGCATTCGTATCACGTTATTTGGCTCATTAGGACCGCATTAAGTACAGAACAAAGGGATTTCAATGAAAGAAATGTTCGTACACATCAAATCTATGCAACCATATCTTTCTGATCCTAAATACTGAGTATGACCATGTTTATGATCTCATAAATCCACAATGGCCGACATTTGGAAAATGAAACGCAGGTGAAAAATAGCTTTTGCCTTATGGTTTATTTTGATACTGTTTTCAAGAACTTTTGAAGATGGGGCCACTTTTGGCCCTTAAACCACTTAGGTTGTTTTTATTTAACTCACTTAGAACGATTTCTATAAATTATTTTTAACTCAATTTGTCTGGACAGCTATAACATTAAAGATTACTAAACCTACATATACCTTCTAATGTTAATCAATTAAAGGTTCAGTTCAGTCCACCAGCTACACACAAATGTGATATGATTCAAGACACAGTTCACTCTCATTACGTTCACACTAATTAATATTATAACTTTGCAGGCTTTGAAGCTTTCATTATTTGAATAATGAGAAATTAACTTATGAAAAAAGAACAATATATATACATTTAGGAGTGGGTAGCAGCGTAGGCTGAAATTAATTAGGACTTACCAGGCAAGGCAGATGGTTGGTTAAGTAGCACAGTGAAGAAATAACAGCTACTGATGTCCAACGGAAGTCGGAGCTGGCTTCTCGGGACTCCTGCCGACCAGCACCATGCAGAGGCCGGGTGCTTCCGCTGGAGCTGCTGGTGACACTACTACTACTGACTGTTCCTGTGACACACTCGGCTCCTAGTGACGGCGTGGAGAAATGTAGTCTGCGCTGTCGAGCACGGCAGCGGTGCACCTCCACGTCGAGGCAGCATGTTAGCACTGTAATCAACAGAACTCCATGGAGACATATGTTGAAAATGGAGAACCTGCGATCCCATCCCAGAGGATGCACAGAACAATCATGCTTCTCGGGGGAACGAGCGAAGACAGCTGCTACGCCGACAAACACAGATATGACAGCCAACACTGCTATGTGGTATCGAATCTGATTTCTTCGAACGCTGAAGCGATACTTATATGGCCAACGGATAGTTAGAGCTCTGTCTACAACTAGAGAAGCTAAGGTAGCAATTTGAAAGGTACGAGTGGCAGTCAAACCCCACAGAATAAAACTGCAAGGGGGTCCAGCTCTTGGATTAACCAAGCTTAAAACAGCAAAGCCGAAAGCAAAAAAGGCAGTAATTAATTCTTGAGTGCCAATCGCTAGTAGAAACAAGTCCACTGTTCGCCAACACCGTCTATACGAGTGGAAGATGTACACCGTCCACAAGGACAAGACAGCCACCAGGGGTGCGCAAGCCGATGCCGCTAACCAACTGTACGATACAGGCTCCATAAAGATGGGGAGGTCAATTTTTTCAATCCTGTTCTTGTTATACCCTGGATTTTCTAAGTCTTACTCTTGCAACTTGACATTTAGAACAAGTTGACGGATTCAGTTGGAGTGATTAGTGAATTCATCATTTAATAGAAACAAACAAAAAAAAGATATTTACGTAAAGTTATAACACGTTCAACCGAAATAAAGAGTCCTATACAGTGGAGCACCACTAGAAATGTGTGCACTCCAGCCGAGAGGCTTGTGCTAACAGATACCTATACATTTACATCGATAACAAGTTTCCAACTGAAGTCTGCGGAACACTGAGTCCAAGTGAAGCTATACGGAGCTTGCACACTTAGTTGCAGATATTTTAACTTCGGCTGCCGCTAGTTGGCGTGATTACCGAGCCGACTAGTGTTTCGGGGTCACTCCTGTCCCTGGAAATTATGCCCTATATAGAAATGAAACAAAACCGGAAACTTGACTTGCCATGGACCACTTACAACAAGCTTTTTTTTTTCTAACTTCTAAAAAGTGCATCCCTCCCCACTTCCTCTGACTGAAAGGTTTCTTGTTTTCAGCATTTCCGTGAAATTAATGTAGACGAAGGGAATAACAGTTCACCTGTGTAAGGATGCAAAGCTCTGATGATTTTCAAAAAAGAGGTTTGTAAAACAAGCAGCTTGGTGACAGAAATATCAAAATATCACGCCAAAGATCGCGCTGCATCTAAACAAGAAACAACCCGAACTTTCCAATAGCTGATATGTGAAATGCAAGGCCTAGTTTAGTTTTCAATCTAAAAAAAAAAATGTGTCTACCGAAATATCCACCAGATACGTTGCTTACTGATACGGTAATTAAGTGCAGGGGACAACTTTTTTTCTTGCAGTGAGGGTCGATTTTATCGAAATGTTTGAAATGAGCAATTCTTCTTTAAAACTCGTGCCATTATCTAAGCGACTGGAAAAATGGAGGGGGGGGGGGAGATATAATCTCTCCAATACACGGGTTACTAAGACTACTGATAGATTCTTCTACGCAAAACCTAAGAAAAGGCAATATTTTGCTGTTCTTAAGATATACTGTCTGTAGTAGCAGAAATATGTAATCGTAAAGTGCCTTGTTCTTTACATACTAATGATATACTATAGCGTATACCCTCCACAGCTTCACGATCTTATCTGCGGATAGATAACATATTAAACACTAATTTTTATAAATTCTTAGATGTTAAAAACATGCTGACTGGAAAACACAATATCAGCTTCATCCGCGTGCGTTAACGGTTAGAGACATTTTTATGACACATTTTACGCCACCAAACGGAAACCTTGGTTTGAAAACTCAACGCTCACCCGTCAAATACCGAGTCTGCAGATCACGTGACTCGCTTGACAAGCTGAGCCACCAGTTTTTCAGTCTCTTAGTCACGTGAGCCCTCTTGGCGAAAAGTGATTCGTTTCGGTTTTTTCCTTTTTTTCCTGTTTACACCAGTAAATGGAACTAAAACGAATTGAAAAGTTGAATCTCGAAATAGTCAACCACTGGAAACTTTTAATATATCTTATATATATGTTTTTTTTGTGTGTGTGTATGTTTTGTAAACTTTTGTTTGTTTCAGAATTTCCTCTCCCCCAGCGGCTCAGCGGTAAGCAAACGGGCTTATTAACGCTAATAATTGTATTTTTCTACCCATAGTGGGCATAATACAGATAGCCCATTGTGTAGCTTTGCGCTTAACTACAAAAATTAAGCAAAATCCGAATGATACTTGAGAACATGAAGCTAGGAAAACATTGAAAAGGTTTGTTTGATTTAGAGCAAAGCCACACTGAGCTACCTGTTGTGTCTATCTCGGGAAATCGAACCCTGGATTTTAGCGTTGTAAATCTGGGGACCATTGTGAATAAACATATATAAAGTAAATTAAAAAATACGATAAAGTCATCAATATTAATGTGAAATGAATAGTAAGACTAACACGTTTACACATTTAATATACAAACTGAAAAATAAAATTCCATTAGTCGCAATTTAGGACAAATGGAATACAGACTGGTGGTTGTCTTTATAATAATGAGGACATTTTTAGTTGGAAGAATGTTTGTTGATTACTTAGACCAGGGTGGTCTTTAATGATGATAAAAGGCTTAATTTCTTCAATGTAGATCCAACTGGTGGTTGTCTTTATAATAATGAGGACAGTTTTAGTTGGAAGAATGTTTGTTGATTACTTAGACCAAGGTGGTCTTTAATAATGATAAAAGGCTTAATTTCTTCAATGTAGATCCAACTGGTGGTTGTCTTTATAATAATGAGGACAGTCTTAGTTGGAAGAATGTTTGTTGATTACTTAGACCAGGGTGGTCTTTAATAATGATAAAAGGCTTAATTTCTTCAATGTAGATCCAACTGGTGGTTGTCTTTATAATAATGAGGACAGTTTTAGTTGGAAGAATGTTTGTTGATTACTTAGACCAAGGTGGTCTTTAATAATGATAAAAGGCTTAATTTCTTCAATGTAGATCCAACTGTAATGACGGTAAAGCTGTTAGTTGACATATTATGACCTGTGGTTTCTTCGTGTTATCAAATTACTGAGTGTTTTACTCGGTAAAAACCAGTTCTCCGAATTGTCGTCCCCAATTTTGAGCTGATAGACTAGAGGAAAGACAGGTAGTAAACACCACTCACCGCCAACTTTTGGGCTACTCTTTTTCGATCAAACAGTGGTGCTTGACCGTCATTCTTATAACGCATCAGGAGCTCCAAAATGCAGAGCTCGTTTCTGCGGCAACGAACCGCGAACTCTGAACCCTTAAATTTACAGTTCGAGCACGTTTTCCAAATGTCATTTGAACTTGTTAATTCTGAATTTAATTTTTTTTTTAGAAAATATACATAAATAATTCATATAAGAAAAACTGTGCAATGGAGTCTCGCTATACAGACTACACTAAGAATATGAGTGGTTTAGTCTCACTATACAGACTACACTAAGAATATGAGTGGTTTAGTCTCACTATACAGACTACAATAAGAATATGAGTGGTTTAGTCTCACTATACAGACTACACTAGGAATATGAGTGCTTTAGTCGCACTATATAGTTTACACATAAAAATATGAGTGATTTAGTCGCGCTATAAAGAAATATTTGTCACTTTACACACAAGTATTTAAGAATTGTAGACACATTACACGGAAGTATTTAAGTGCTGTAATTAAACTAAATAGGGCCAATTCACAAGAGTGGAATACTATTATCACAGACGAGTATATAGAATACAACAGTGAGCATTTTTTACTGTAATCACACTGCGCAGGAATACTGTT